CCCCACCCTGAAAACCGCTTCCTCTCCGTGGCTGCCAGCACCCTTCCTCCCCTGGCCAGGGTGCAGGGTGGCCGGGGAGACCGTCCCGGGGTGCAGGGAGCCGGGCTGGGGGCACTGAGAGGCTCTGCTGGGGCAGAGGGGATGTGGGAGGGAAGTGGGACCTGAGCCAGCTCCACTGGAATTTGGGGCAGGAAGATTTAGCAAAACGAAACAAGAGCCCTTAAAGGAAAAAGCCCAGCGTCGGCTCGGGGAAAAGGCGACTCTGGAGTTGAAAACAGGGATGGCTTGTGGAGATGGGAGAAAAATAAGCTGGTGGCTCTGCAAAGGGAAATGAAGGGAGAAAAGTGGCGCAGATGAGAAATTTTCAAATGCAGGCACTTGACTTAAAAAGCCGAAGGTGTTAATGGAGAGCCCTGGGGCATGCTCAGCATCCTAAAAAAGCACTTTTTTGGAGAGTTTACCTACTCATCAGGAGGAGCAGGTGAAGATGCCGCTGGCTCAGTCCCTGTCCCCAGGGCAGGGCAGCGATCCCACTCCAGGTGGTGCCCACGTGGCTGTAAACAGCTGGAGAGCCCCAATGGGTGCTGTATCCCTGTCCCATCACCGTGGTGTCCCCTCTGGCACAGCCCAGTGCCGGGATGGTCGTGGTGGGGTCTGTTTGGGAACTGGGAAACTGAGTAATGACATGAAATGGTGCTGTGGGTGGGTGACCGGCAGGGACAGAGCATGGGGCTGGCTTCCCTGTCCCCACCTGGGAAAGGGGATAAGACTTCAACTGCTTTGGTGAAGCCCCTTGAGACCTGCTTGGATGTGGGGATGGGAAAGGTCCTTCCCTGCCTTGGTGGGGCTGTGGTCCCCCTGTCCGTGGGGCAGGACCTGGGAGCCATTTCCCCCAAGGAGCATCCCAGTGAGCACTGGTCTCTGCTGGATCAGCACTGGGGGCTGGCGGGGTGGTCTCCCTCGGGGTCCTTGAGGTCTGGATGCTCTTCTGGGCCATGGTGGGTGCAACCTGAACTGCTGCTGCTTCTTGCAGATATCTGGAGCCTGGGGGTCATCCTCTACATGCTGGTGTGCGGCCACCCCCCTTTCCAGGAGGCCAACGACAGCGAGACCCTCACCATGATCATGGACTGCCGCTACACCGTCCCCCCGCACGTCTCGGCACAGTGCACTGAGTAAGCACCTCTCCCCGACCCAGATCCCTCTGGACCCCAACCTGCTGCCCCTGGGGGTGGGTGCCCTGTCCCTGGGGGATGCCTGGGAGCTGGGCTGGGAAAGCAGGGGGAAAGCTGCCGTGTCTGGGGCTCGCATGCTGCTGCGGGATTGCAGCATCACCCTGTGCCCCCGCAGTCTCATCTCCAGGATGCTGCAGCGGGACCCGAAGCAGCGAGCCTCCCTGGAGCAGATCGAGGGCCACGCGTGGCTGCAGGGGGTGGACCCGTCCCCCGCCAGCCGCTGCCTGCTGCCCCTCACCTCCCACAAGCGCGTGTCCGAGGAGGAGCACGAAATCATCCTCCAGGCCATGACGTGCGGGAACATCGCCGATCGGGACACCATCCAGGAGTGAGTGACGGGGTGGGATGCTGAGGTGGGCGCCCCTGCGAAGGGCGCTGGGGAGGGTCCCTCCGAGCGCGTCCCTCGCACACTGACGTGGGTCCCTTGGTCGTGCACAGGGCACTGGAGGCCGACCGCTACAACCACATCACGGCCACGTATTTCCTGCTGGCGGAGAGGATGCTGCGGGAGAAGCAGGAGAAGCAGGGCCATCGCCTCAGCCTCGTCTACAACCTGGCCAAGGAGGTGCAGAGCAGGTGAGCCCCCCTGCTGTCCCATGTCCCCCCCACGCCACCCCAGGTCCCCAGCGCAGGTTCCTCACTGGCGCCCCATCCCCTTCTTCGCCACAGCCCTTGCGATGCCCAGCTGGGTACTGACACCTCCATCTCTCCCCTTTCTCAGGACCAACTTATCAGATGCATTCGGTCCTGTGGGCAGCCCCAGTGGCCTCTTGCCCTTCACAGAGGTGCCAGGCGGCCTCACTGTGGGCTCCCGGCTGCCCCCCCTGACCACTGGAGGGGACATCGGTGGCCGGCAGCCCCCCGGGACCCTGCTGAAGGTCCCCGCTGTTGACACCACCATCACTAAGAGCACCCCGGCCCTGCAGCAGATCTGTGAGGAGGAAGAGGAGGAGGAGGAGGAAGAGGAGGGGAGGCCCAGTGCCATGGAGAGGAAGAGCAGCTCACTGAACCAGGAGCAGATGCGAGCCTTCCTGTGCACCCGCCGCCCACCCGGCCGTGGAGAAGTGTGGGGGGTGGGGGCTGAGCTGGGGGGCCGGGGCGGGCGCCCTGGGGCAGCCTGGGCTGGGAAGGGGGGGAGTGAGGGCAGGGGTCCCCTGGCGATGCAGGGGGACAGAGCTGAGCCCCCCAGGAGGGAGGAGGGCGTGGAGCTCGGGGGCTCCTTGGAAAAGCCCCCTGGGGAAAGGGGAGCCACCCCATCACCCCAGAGCAGCTCTGCTGGGGTCCCCCAGGTGCTGGGGCCAGGGATGGCCCCCACTGCCCTCCCGGGCCCCATGGACAAGTCCCCAGGGCCCCGGTCACCTGCCAGCCCGGCCCCAGGGGGCACCGAGGGGGGCGCGGAGAGTGTGATCAAGCTGGACCCGGGCAAGAGCAAGGGGGGCAGCCTGCGGGACAGGCTCCTGCAGTTCCCGCTCTGCGAGAAAGCCCTGGCCTTCAAAATCCGGCCAGGCTCCAAGGAGAGCCTCCTCTCGCTGGGGCAGTTTAACTGCTGCCACGTCATTTAAGCCCCCCCCGGGGTGAGGGTCCAGCCCCTCCACGGCGTCTGGGAGGGTACCCGTCCCCTGCCTTTGGTCCCCCCTGTGCCCCACGGAGCGGTGGCAGTGGGGCTGGCAGGGGCCACGGTGCCCCTGTTTTGTCACCCGTGGTGGCCACCCTGCTAGCACCCACCCCAGGCACCTGCTGCGGTGCCTGGGGGCTGGGCTGGGACAGACCCCCAGGATGGGACTGACCAGGGGGGTGAGGCGGGCTGGGGTCTGTCCCCAGATGGGCTGGCATGTCCCCAAGCCCCCGGGGCTGCTGGGGCAGCTCCGTGGCCCCGCTGGGGGTGGATGGACCATGACACATTTTTTTTAACTACTAGAAATAATTTTTTTAAATAGTCTATTTTAATGTAATTAAATAGAGATTGCTATATCCCCTCCAACCCGCCCCCTGGGACGGCAGCTCGCCCCCAGCCCCGCAGCGTGCGTCAGGCTCTCCTGCCCACGGTGGCCGTGGGGCAATCGCTTCTCTGCCTGCAGCCCCCCCGCCGCCCATCCCCCCCCCCCCCCCCCGCCCGGCCGGGGCCAGGCGCAGCCCTGCCCGCAGCCGCGCGTGACCCGAGGCCCTCCCCTGGGCCTTCCCCCGCAAATAAGCTTCCTATTTATTATCTCTTTGTTTTCTTGCTGGCAAGAAATGAATGACGACTGAGGCGTGGGCCGGAGCTCAGCCCGAGCTGTGCCCTGAGCTGTGCAGCGTGCGCACAGGAGGGATCGGAGCCGCTGGGAAGCAAAGTTCATCGGGCCAATAAAATAAGCTCCTGGGTTGATGCAGTTGCCATGTCTTGTTGCAAAAAAAAACAAAACCCAAACCCCACTGTCCTCCAGCCCTGCAAAGGCCAGGGCACCAGGGATGGCTGCCCAGGAGCGTCTGACCCAGCTGGGTCCCTCTGCGCCAAGGTGGGCTGGTTTGGGGGCTGCGCAATGGGTGCAGTGGGTGCTGGCTTTCCCTGCCCAGCGCTGTTTTGGCACTGCCGCGACCCGGTCCCTGCAGAGGGAGGGAAGCAGCTGCCACCACAGCCCCTTCTGGGGGAGCAAGGTTTGGGGGAGTGTGGGGTGTCTGCAGCTGGCCCTCAAGGCAAAGTGGGGCTTCAGCCTGTGCCTGGATGGGGCCTGGAAGGGGGCGCAGACAGGAATAAGGCCAGGGATGGGGAACACCCAAAGGTGCAAGGAGACCCTGAGGCGTGCCAAAGGGCAGGCAGATGGTACCACATGCCTCTGGCAAGGTGCCCCCAGTTCCCACCCAGTTTTTGTCTCTAGGCCTGGCTTCCTTCCCTCCAGCTCTGCTGTGTCTCTCCCTCTTCCCTCCATCCTATTTCTCCCTCCTTCCATGTATCCCTGCATGCATACCCCCTCAGATAACACCCTTACCTCTCCCTGTTGTCCGACATGGGATCCTTCTCTCTGGGGTACTGGGTGGCTGGAAAAAGCAAGTGGTGCTGTGCAGGTATCAGATAGGATGGAGCTGGCCCTGGAAAGATCCTTAGGGAGGTGATGGTGGGAAAAGAAGCAAAACAGGCCCTCCGGAGCCTGCAGGCCCTGGCAGCAGGGAGAAGTGCCACAGCTGCCCAGGGGCTCCTAAAGGATAAAGCCTTCGCCTGAACAGGGGCTTGAACCCTGGACCCTCAGATTAAAAGTCTGATGCTCTCCCAACTGAGCTATCCAGGCTCACATTTCGGGTTTTGGGGGATGTTCAAGACAGGCAGTGAGGACCCCATTTCACTGCATCACTGAAGGGACAACATGGGGACTTGCTTTGACCTCTTCCAGCCCCGCAGTGCCCCAACAAGGCCACCACAGTGGAGGGCGACCTCCCATGAGGAGGAGCACCACCAGGACCTCTACCCTGCCCTGGCAGGCATAAACACCAGGTTTATCCTCTCGGGGCAGGCAAAAGCCAGAGTGACGAGGCAGAGGAGAAGGAGAGCCCGGACAGGGCTGTGGGTGCCAATCCCAGCAGCCTGGGAAAATAATAACCCAGCAGCAGTGGGCTTTGAACTTGCTTTTCCAGAGACCAGCGCCCAGCACCAGCTCCTCAGCCCACTCAGCCACGCTGCCTGCACACACTGGGCTCAGCACCCAGCTTCTGGGCATGGGCTGGACCGGCATCCCACCAGGGGACTGATCCTGACGCAGGGATGTGCCCTCGGAAAGCGCCAGTGCCGTAGGGATGCGCCCGCAGGAGGGCGAGCAGGGTGCCGTAGAGGCGGCTGTAAAACCTCCGCTGCCCCCGCACCGCTCCCCGAGGGAGGCAGGGGGGATCCGGCCGGAGGAGAGGAGCGGCAGCGTGGGGCCCCCCGCTCGGCGGCTGTGATCGTATAGTGGTCAGTACTCTGCGTTGTGCCCCCAGCAACCTCGGTTCGAATCCGAGTCACAGCAACGCTTTTGCCAACAGCCTGGTGCTCGGGAAGGCCGGGCTGCAGATGCAAGGGAGGCGGCTGCAAGGAGGTTGGTTTGCAGAGACGCCGTGCCCGAGGAGGGGGCCACAAGCTCTGAGGGGCTCCCAGAGGCCGCCCTTCCTTTGCTCCTGCCCTTCCTCCCAGTTCTGCGCGACGGGGAACCCACCCTGCCAGCCCAGGCCAGCCTGGCTCAGATGGAGCTGCAGAAGATTAAAGCCAACCCCAAACACTCACGGAGTTGGGGGAGAGCCTGGTCCTGCAGAGCGCCTCGTGGGGCCTCTTCAAACACTTCGTGTGCACTAATTAGCTTCATTAAGAGCAACCAGTGAGGGCATCTACCCTCCCTTCTGATGGGACTGGGGACAGGATTAATTATCCAGGGGAACGGAGGGGCAAGCCTTAGCGGGGAGATCAGAGCTTGGCACCTACGGCTGGGGGGGTGTTGATTGAATAAGTCCATGAGCCTAATTACCCTGATTAATTAGAGCCTGCTGCTTTTAACCCACGTCCGGTGGCATGAGCCCGCTGGTGCCTGCTCATGGAGCACAGCGCTGAGACACGGCCCAGCGGCAGCACTGCAGACCCCTGAGGTGCTCCCGGTTCCCTCAGAGGGGCCCTATGGGTCCCCCAGGCCCCCCAATCCCTCAGAAAGGCCCTGTGAGGCCGCCAGTT